TATATATTTTTTTTTATTTTACATGCCTGCATTTATTTGGATCAGTCTACTTACCTTTTTAAAGCGCACTGCTTGGTTCGCCATTCCCCGGATAGGTTGCCAAAATGGTGCGAATTCCGGGACTAACCCTTGCTGCACAATTTCCCCTAATCTTCGCCTCGCTGGGATAGTCATTGCTAATCCCCGACATGATTGCGTTATTTTTAGTAGCCCTCTGCTAGTTTGGAAAATCTTAGACATGATGACCACCGTGAACACGGATATATCAAAGATAAAAAAATTAATCTCTTTCTGTTCTTTTTTAACCTCACGCCAATGCCGTAAAATCTCCTTATGTAAGACCGCCGACTAACTGTAGTATATGTTGTAATGTGAACGTGAGTTAACTATCAATGATGCATTTATCTAAGGGTGTTCACTGATGCAATCCCCTAAAATATGGGTAAGAGCGAAGGTCATGTTGAACAGAAGAACTGGTTTGGTAAGCATTATTTATGGCAGGGCTATGTATATATCACCTAGCATTATTCCAATATAAACAAAAGCAATCACCCACGACTTGCTGTACCGGTATATGGTCCTCTATCAGGGCCACAGATTGATTTTCCTCCAAACAAACAAAGATGTGTCTTTGTCAAATTCATGACACGATTCTTTGCTCTCGAGCTGGAGAAAAGACCACTTAGTTAATCTGATTATAATCTGCGGCGGTGGTAGAGGGTAGCCGTACATCATGATTTACACCTCACTTCATTACAATGGCCAGCCAAAGCCACAAATCTGCTGCGATTATTAATTTATTTATAAATATATTATTTTCCTTTTTTCTGGGAATGAAAATCATAGCTCCTGGAATCCGTAAAAGATTCTTGTCAAATTTGTCGGCGACTTATGATACCGCAATACACACCAAAATACATGTAATACCTGCAAGTTATTATTCTAGTGATTGTTTTAAGCTGATGGGAAAATAAACAACCCAAACGTATTTATTTGCTTAAACTTAAACCATGTCTTTGTGCATTAAAAGTACCATTATACAGACTTAAGGTACACTCTTTCTTCATAAAACTTTACAAAGAAAGTTCATCCAGCTCATACATGTCACAGATTCGGGGGGAATGGAGACATGGTATTCACTATCAATTTCAAACAACTGACTTAAGGCCCAGTCACAATGTCGGCGATCTGTCGGGGATTAGTTTTGGCCGGGGGTCGTCGTAGAAAATAAAGAATCCTTGAACAATCCTAGCAATAATCCTAATAAAAGTGGAGCAGTCACATTGTCTGAGATTTTTTCAAGGATTTTGACCCGGTTTTGTCGAAAAATCGTGGAATTAGCCTCCGATTGCATCGGAGGCGATCGGAGACGATATCTGCGAGCGTCTTTTCTCGTAATTTTTTTCCCCCTGGGTATATGTGGTTATATATGGGTATATATTCGGAGGACGCCTCCGATTAATCGGAGGGCATCGTAGGTCATCGGAGATTGTGTCTGGGATGCCCAAAATGGGTGAAAAATCTTGCGAGCAATCTTAAAATTTTAAGTTCAAAGTTGGGGACCGCGACGGGTGTGGCGATGTCTAAAAAATCTGCGACAACCCGCAGGCGTCCGGAGAGCGCCTCCGACGGGTGCAAAATCGTGAGATCTGTCTCAAGATTTTGTTAAAATTTCCCGGGTTTTACCCATCCCTGACGCATCGCAACTGATTTGTGACTGGGGCTTTACTTAAGGCTGCTAATTGAATTGAGATCAGGTGTACCCCCCCCCCCCCCATCCCCTTCAATATGTGTGTTTATAGCCAGGGTGCTTTAACGCAGAAGTACTTGGATCAAGCCCATTACATATTATTGAGCTGTGCTTATAAAATGGTGGTTGCACCAGCCGTGCCGTAGAGAATAAACAAAATCCTGTCAAAAATGTTGTAAAATGCTGTTTATTCATCTCCCTAAGTAACATCATATATATTGTCCATGTACCACGAAAAACAGTATTGCTATAATGCTAAGGATACTATATTGATAATAATCTTTATGAAGACAGGTATGGTGTGCTAAGAATGTGACTATGGGTATGTGATGGATTAGTAACCATTACAGTATTCTGGCCTTTTAGTAAGACAGTCAACTACACGGAGCCCGCTGCTTCAAACGCCCTCTTAGCTACCAAACAACACAATCTTGTGAAAACGGGCTATATGTAAGTAACGTGTGGCATAAACGTTTTGAAGAACATTACACAAAATATCAGTACAGTTGTACCGCTTTTTTTTACTCTCTTAGTGAAAAGGCGTTAATTTTACAGTAGCGTTTTGTTATACAATGAACCAAACGTATTTACGAAGAGTTTGATCTTCCATTAACCGTTGTTAAATTAAATAATAAATCTATAATATTATTATGCTACCTTTATCAAATTTACATGCAAATTTACATAAAGGCCAAAGTCTCGTTATATTTCTTATTTGGATCTCACTGTTCCACCTGCGTCCTATTACTGACTTCTTCAAACAAGTCCTTTAATCAACCAAAGGACCGAAAAACCCATTATATTTGTTATTTGGATCCTCGGTGAAAAGAAACTCTGCATACGCATGCGCATACTCATCAATGGATATGAAGCCGTCTTTGTTGGCGTCCATCACATCAAACACCTTCTTCGATTCTTCAACAGGGACGTTTACGCTGTAGAAGTAAGCAGCGTGTTCTTCCTTTGAAATGCGACCATCACCATCAATGTCCATGACCTTGAAACCCACGGATACCACCATTGGGAAGAACTCTTTCCGGTAGGTAATTTGATTAAGGACCGAAGGATCAAATCCCACGTATTCCTTCTGAATTGCTTTAGTAGGGTCCTTAGGACCTTTAGGGACGAATTCCCATATGTCAAGGCGCTGTTTCAGTATATTTGCTGCTTGTTGATCTAAAACAGGTGGCATACGTTTTTACATATTACACAGCTTATGATAAAAAAAAATAAAAATTGATGTTTCAGAGCATTTCAAAATAAAGCTTTGACAAAAATGACATCTATGAGAGAGAAACAGAGATGGATGCAAAAAAGAAAAAGAGAGAGATGGGTCGAGGAAGTAAGTGATCACAATTAATGCAAGAACATTCTTTTGAGAAATGTGCATAAAGCAAAATCAAAAATATATCAAAATATACCATTAAGTTTCAGATACTCGGCTACGCGCCTGGCGCTCCTCTCGAAGTCTTCCTTTGTAACGAAGCCGTCGTCGTTCGCTCCCAATCGATTGAGAACCGTGCGTATTTTTCGTCTCCAGTGATCAGATGCAGTAATCTGAGGGTAATCCATCGGCATCTGGGATGTTGATAAATAGGTCAATGTGTATTGCCCGAAAAAAAAGATACCTAACAGGTACATGTACAATGCAAAACCTATTTTATTCACATTAGTTCCGATACGGTACTTTGTCCTTTTGTTATCTGCATCATGATACTTATTTCTTTGGGTTAATCTACATTTTAGTGATCACAAACTATTCATAAATATTGTGAATCCTAACCCCTCCGGTTACAGGAGGGGGTTCAATAAACTACGCCCCCCCCCCTCCCGCAAATCAACCTCCGCACAGCAGCTCCGCACAATAACATAATTGTTAAATATAAATAATAAATCAATAAGTGTTTACTTTCATAAACATCATTGGATATAAACCTTTATATTGCAGGTAATAGTTTCAGTATAATGCTAGTCTGTACTAATTCCCGAGCTGAATGTAATCCTTAATAGTATTTAGTAATGTTTAATAGTTTCGAAAGGTTAGACATTTTTCAACATTCTCGATTCGAGTCAACTCGATTCATATGCTAGTTACTAGTTAAACGCACAGCTTGTAGCTGAAAGATGCTATCATTTAATTGTAACTACCCGACCTTTAATCTCTGTATCATCCCCGTTGCCCCCCGCCCGCGATATTTTGGATCTCCATATTTTAAAAATTATCGTTTGTATACAACATTGGTCAAAAAGGTTGTCCCACCCCCAGTTTCATGTGCTTTTATTTATAAATGATCACCTCACATGTGAAATTTGTTATAAATAGTGATTTTCATTCCGGATGCCATAACTAACATGAATAGTGGTACAGAAAATACAAACTAGCGGTGATATATCCATATTTGATACCATTTATTCACATTTATCACATGTACCCCCCTCAAATTCGATGTTCAACTGTCATTCACTGTGATTTTCACAGAGGCAAAGAAATGCCCATTTAATTGAAAATACAACACCAAATGTCACCAAATTTAGCATTAGGGCGTGCTCGTTAAAGGTTACGTGTTTATTAGCGTGAGTGTTTTACCGCATACTGTAATTAGCTCCTGTAGACGGCGCTGCTGTCGTCAACAAGGGTAACAATTCTGTTTTGTTATATTGTCCCATGCTTCCTTAAAACTTTGGCGGAATTGGTCTGGGCTTTTTGGAGTTTGGTCCTCCTCTGGATTGGATATAGTTTCTTCAGCCTCAGAATATTGGGTTTCTGCAACAAATCACTCATCAGACGAGAACTGTGTGCAAGTGTGCGGTCATGATTAAGCCTGGATCACCCCTGAAGTCCCCTCTTGCAGATGGAATGAGGTATCAGTTGGTAATGTTAGGTTCAGTAACCACAGAACTACCAGAACTTGGTTAACCATCATTAGGAACAAGTTGGTTTTGTTAAAAATATAGGTATTTCTTGTATGCCTTAGATGGTTAAATTAGGGCCCGTAGACATGTTGCAGAATGCTTTTTGGAAGTTGTGTGCAGGACAGTATCACCTGAGGTGTCAGCTCAGTCGACGTTTGCAGAGCATTCCATGCTCATGATTTTAGTACATTGTTCTTTCCGGAAAAGAACATTGTTTGGGCAATTCATTGAAACATTCTCAACAAATATCTCAATTCATTTACAAGAGATGACTTCAGGGATACTGCAGACGTCATCGTGGAAATGCACTTGCACACAGCTCTCGTCTGCTGAGTGATTTGCTGCAGACACCCAAAGTTCGGAGAACGGGGCAAGTTAACCTTGTTGAAGGCAGGCCGCGCCGCCTACAAGAGATAATTACAGAACACGGTAGAAACACGCCTTTAAAGTGACCTTTAACGAACACACCCTAATGCTAAATGTGTGAAAATTTGGTGACATTTGGTGGTGTCTTTTCAATTTAATGGGCATTTCTTTTCCTCTGTGAAAATCACAGTGAAACGTCGGATTTAAGGCGGTACATGTATTAAATGTGATTAAATGATATTAAATATTGATATCTTCACCGCAGGTTTGTATTTTCTGTTCCATTAATCATTTTAGTAATGGTATCTGGAATGAAAATCACTATTTATAACAAATTTTACATGTGAGGTGATCATTTATAAATAAAAGCACATGATACTGGGGGTGGGACAACCTTTTTGACCAATGTTGTAGTGTTACACGCCCCACAAAGGACCCTCGATCATGGCAGTGTCTATAGTCACAGCAACGGTCGCCGTTACGCTTGACCTCATCTGGCTGCTACCAGCCCTCTCAAGCGGCAATACATTTTTCGGATATATATATATATCCGGCCCGTAGACATATATATCGCCACCATAACTTGGTTACTTAATTTCTACTTACTTTCTTAAAGCGTATCGGTTGGTCGTTCACTTGGCCGGTCAGTTCTCTGACTGGTTGAATACATGGTGTATATTCCAGCACTAACCCACGCTGCAAACCTTTCTTCAATAATATCTGGTTAGATGACACGGTCCGTGCCAAACCTTGACTTGACCGCACAATTTTCAGTAATCCCCAACTATTCTGGAAAAGCTTGGACATTTTGACAATCGGAAAACTGGATAAATAACGACGCCCTCGATCGACTCGCTTCAACTCGAATGCGAGAAGAAATGTCCGCACGTATGTTAAACGCCTGTCCGACTACGAAGGACGCCCTACATATTTACACATAAAGAAATGTCTGTCATCTGACTGACAGCATGATATTTATCTAACATAAAGTGCCAGGCGCTGACCACAACGCCAATTAACAAATATAATTTTCGAGGCGAAACTGAGACAATTATCTGCTCTATTTCGCGTGAAGGTCAGCGCAGAGTGCTTTATCTGACTTATATCACAGCTGGCGCTTCAAACAGTCAGATAATTCAATTTTTGCTTTTTTTCTATTTGTTATTAATATTATTTTGCGAACAGACTTGCCTGACACGTACCGCTATATTAAACGCCTCACCGCGTCTCATGCCTTCATTTCAAGAAGATGGTTGTCTCTTATCAAGCAATGTCACTTGGACGATATTCACTCGAAATGATACCCTATAAGCATAAATTGTAACCGCCTTTGAAAACCACTACTTTCTGAAGGTAAAGGTCACGTTGCGTCATCCCGCTGTCCTGTCTTATCACTGTTTTGAAGTTAACTGGCACTGATCTAGGGAAAGGAAGGGCTCATCCAAGGAAGACCGGGATGTCACAGTAGCTGGCGGTGCTAGCTTATGACGAGGTGGCTCAAGTACTAATACATCACTGAGTCGTTTTCGAGGCCCCGGTTTCAATAATAATAATAATAATAATAATAATATTAATCGTAATAATAATAAATAAATAAATGAATAAATAAATAACAAAAACAAACAAAAAAAATCAGTCAGGGCCCTGGCTAAGAACATAATTACCAACGTTGCAAGGTTACATGCGCACATCTTCCCCTATCAGAAACAGTGTTTCAGAACTCTCGTAGAAATCAGATTCAACTATAAGCTCGGGTGTTGGCTAAATTATTTTCTTGTGAGACGTACTGGGACCAAGTCTATTCTTACAGTCGGTTTCCGGATTATCTAACCCAGAACGAGGCTCGATTTTAGGACTAGGGTAAAACATTGGCTTGCGCCCATTACTCTCAATGTTAAATTGGCGAACTTTGATCGTTCACATCAAACAGACCAGAGGACAATTACTTGTGACAACCACTTGGTTATATTCACTAGGGTTTTAAGCGTCAGTCAATGGGCCTCAGGAGGATTTTCTAGAGCTGATGGTCATTTCATCAGCGATAATACCAACACTCGATCCTCCAACGGGCTGCAATTTCAGTTTACACCAGATGCATGTTGTAATAGGCATATTTTCTCGTCTGTATCAAGTATATCTGTGAACAAATACGCGTGACAACTGTTTGATGATATTCACTTAAGCCCCCTTTACACTGGACGGCGTCCTTTCTGCGTCCAGCAGTCCGGCCCCATTTGAGAGTTAAAAAATTATAATATTTTACGTGCCGACAACTGGCCGATCATTGAGCATTCATTCTGATACAAAATTAATGCTCGTGCCTCCTTATTAAGACCACAGCGATGCCAAATTTCATGGTCGCAGAAAGGACGCAGAAAGGACGCCGTCCAGTGTAAAGGGGGTATTACGTATTTAGCTCAGGGAAATGGCCACCAAAAGGATTTTCTAGCGTCAGTGGCGACTCTATCAATGATGGTGTTGTACTATTTTTAAAACAACTTTTCCTACTGGGACACTATGATCTATACGCACCACTTCATTAATATACAGTCAGAATTCTTGTATAATAAAATCATTATCTAAACAAAGAAAACTATTATATTCATATTGCTTTTAGAGGTCTCAATTTGAAAGATTTGATAAGCTAGAAAAGGGGGCTTGGGTAGCATTGCTCACCTGTCGTGTTCAAAGCAGGTGTCTCAAGTAATGCAATTAATGTGCTTTCAAAAATAATTTTAATTTGTCACTGCTGTGTTTTTCATTAAAATTTCTTTTTTTACTATTGTCTGGATTATGTTTGAAGAGACTATGAAATACTTTTTCAGCTTTTATAATTTCTGTAAAAACGTAAAAAAATTCATTAGAGGCCTGCCAAAATTATTTTCCATAAATAAATTGATTCACCCATAATTATCCAATTAAACAAAAAGTTTTAATCAAGTTCACTCCGCTTTAATGCTACTGGAAGGGGGGGGGGGTAATAATCACCAATAGCTTACAAGTTTTTATCCTTAGTTTTCATAATTGTATATAATTTGAAAGACAGCAATAATGCTCTTTAAATATTCTTTTTTTCTTTATTTTTGAATGAAAGCCTCATTTAAATCTTTATAAGTTGTCAAAATCTACAAATCATTCTTGACTATGATGCTAAATGAAGTGCATGGTGTCTTTTTTCAGAAAATAATATAAATTTATAAGGTAGTGATTTCATTTTCATTTTTAGAACATATAGACTCAATATCACAATACAAAGTATGATCTATAAAAATCCGAATTGAATGCATATTTAACCGTCATAAATCACTTTGAATTCTTAAACAAAATGCAAAGTGAAAGATACAATAAAACTTGTTGACTTTAAATTTACATTTTATTTCTATCTATAAGGTACATGTATGTAAGAAAGGAGTTATAAAATTCCTTGACATATGCTGTAAAGTTGCATTCTGAATTAACATTTGTGCAGTAAAAATGGATTAGAATTTCTATGATATAAAACCTTTAAGCAAATATAACAGTAATGTCCAAAGGATAAAAACACTGAATCCATAACAAAAATTTGATTGAGTGTTTTTTCTAATTGCATGGGTTAATAGATTTTACTCAGCAAACAGCTCCACCCGCTTGTTTCTTCCAGTTCATATACTGGAGTATGTGCATTGATAGCCTTTCTTGCGTTCTATCCTCTTGATGAAAGTGTGCAACATCACAAAGAAAAAGTATTAGTTATCTGTTCCAATAGCACATTATTGCCATTTACACACCTCATAGTACAATAATTAAATGATTTATTGAGTATTTAAAATTTTTATTCCTGTCCATGATCTCAATTCTGTTTGCAGCAATATGGGTATTAAAAAATTACTAGAAAAAAAAATGTTCAAATTCTCAAAATGGCATGTACTTTCAGTAATAAAATCAGACTAGTAAATTGTCATTAGAGCTTTCTTTCAGCTCCCCTTTTCAAAGACAAATACAATGACCACACCTGTGAAGATCCATATCTGTTTTAGTTCTATTTGCTACAATGACACCAACTGATAAGATTACTTTCTTCCAATTAAACCAACTCAAAGGGCTCTATGATTGTTTGAGCATCCAGGTAAGTTCTGTTCAATCGCTGTCAGTGGACAGATTCATCCGATAACAAAGCCATTGGAACTTCTTAAGCCCCCTTTACACTGGACGGCGTCCTTTCTGCGTCCTTTGTGCGACCATGAAACTGGCCAGGACGCCGTCGGACGCTCAAAGAACGCACAGTGATCGCCAAGGTCGCACAAAGAACGTTCAAGCATCTCCGAGGACGCCATGGACGCCGCGAAGTTTTGAGCATGTTCAAAACAATCGCAGAGAGAACGCGATGGAGGATGGTCGCTCAATGGACGCAGAAAGGACGCACAAGCATCGCCGTGGTCGCAGAGAGAACGCACAAGCACCGCCGCGGTCGCAGAGAGGACGCACAAGCATCGCCGCGGTCGTAGAAAGGAGGCACAAGCATCGCTTTGGTTGCAGAATGAAAACTCAAAAATCGTCCAGTGTTCGACACGTAGAACGTTATTTTTTTCACTGTCAAACGGGGCCGTGCTGAGGTATTTTTCACCAGGCAGGAATTCTAAGGGCAACAGTGGTCTCATATCAGTCTCCGATTGTTTTTTCCCCTAAAATTCATGAAACGAGCCATTTTTTTTTTTTTTTTTGAAGTTATTATAAAACGAATATTTTGCCTTTTTTACAAGATGCATTAATTGTCAGAACTTTTTGCTGAATGCTTCATTTGAAAACGGATTCAAACATTCTATGTTGTGTCAGTCATACTTTCTCGTTTTCGGCGCCTGTCCATCCTTCTTATAAGGATAACAATGAGCATCTGACTGATTATCAGTCCATGCAGACCTTGCATCACTATAGTTTAAAGCATTTATTGCCATTTATTTGTTTTGTGTGCTGGAAATGTTTTTTATTGGATGACCTGGTTGGAACCGATGAAAAATATGAGTTAGAATATAGAGAAGGACGCCCAAACAACGCTCATCGGTCAAGCAGGATGCAGAATGATCGTAGAATAGACGCCACTGATCGCCGATGAAGGTACAAGAATGCTCAATGGTCGCTCAAACATCGCAATGGACGCCTTGGTTTGCACAGAGGACGTACAGTGGAGGCAGGCAGATTGCTCGCAGTTTACAGGTAAAATCAAGATTCGGTCGTTCAAAGGACGCACAAGGTACGCAGACGCCTTTACACTGAGACAAGATTTAATTGCTTTGGCGACCGTTGAGCGTCCTGACCACATTTTTGAACGCAGAAAGGACGCAGAAAGGACGCCGTCCAGTGTAAAGGGGCCCTAAGGTCCACTTAATGCATGTGATGCACTCACTCATTTCACATTATGTTTATGTAATCAGTTAGCATATTATTATTCACCTTGCTTCAGTCTTGAATGAATATTTATCATCCTCCGTAAAGGTATACCTGATAAGTAGAACTGATATGACTGATTAGAAGAAACTCTCACTTGGTATCTTTTGCATTGCAATTAGTATTTAAATGAGTTGCTGCCACTGTGGCATGCAGATAGATCCCCTGTAGATAATGTGTATTAATGCTGAATGTTTAGCCCGAATAATGAGACTTAAGAGTTGGGACTGAAGATGCGAGTTTATAGTTATATTCCCTCTCCCATGCATCACTGACAAGTGAAACATTAGAAGAACCTGGGTAGGGAGGAACATATGGACCCCTACATTGGACCACTACAGCAGCACCAACACCACTCCCACCACCACCAGCAGCAGTTTAGATACTGAGAAGTTCCCCCCAAAAAAACACTACTTCTTCTCCCCCATCAGTGGCGGATTTAGAGGGGGTCTGATATTATGCCAATATTCCCCTCTTTAAATTAGTATTTTGACTAGCTAAATGAAACGTAGTTCTAAACTGTAGCAAAGGCACTGTTTGCTCTCCAAAACACCAAAAAATTTTTGAGCAGGCCCCAAACTCCACACCATGGGGCGACGATCGGCTTCACATCTGAGGCCTGTCAGCCCGGACCCCCTCCCCCCATTCAAATAATCCTGGATCCGCCCCTGCCCATCATGTAATTATGATGATGATACCTTGATACTTCATGTGCCTTCACAGCTTATAAGAAAATTGTCAGGGTCAAAGAAGGCAGGAAATATACTTGGGAAGTGTAGATTTTTAAACTTTGAATTGTATTGTGAGCAACTTTTAGTTCAAATTCAAGAACGTGAATTTTGAGTTTTTGGATAAATGCTGTTTCATGATATTAAAGGTTTGAGAAACGACTTGTTTCTATTGTTGTTTTATCCGTGGTGGACCCTATGACCCGATATATAGATACTGGGCCGTGTGGGCTTCCAAGACAAGGAAGACGCTACTTAGTAATGGTGGTTCTTTAGAATATATGATCGATGTACAGATGTATTTGCAAACCCAATAGGACATTTGGTGAGTAGTATTTTTTTCAAAAAAAAAAAAACTGTGCAGTACAAAATATATTCAAGATGTTAGTCTAATAGCATGCATTGTATATATACTGAAATATCAATAAGTGTCACCGCTACGGCAAACTGACCATGTGCCGAATAAGGCGATGCAAACTACCTGTACAAACGAACAGTATCTTTCACTTCTAGACCAGGTACAGAGTATAACGTTGTTTCAAGCCAACCCTCAAACTAGGAGACACCAGGTAGGTCCCGTTTATGATGGGCGTTGCCATGTCCTCCCGACCCGGAGTTGGGCACTCTGGCTGAAAGGCCACCCAGTCAATATGCAGTGTACTTTTGGGGGGTCAAACACGGTATATTTAACTGTACAGCATGACATATCAAATGGGTGTAAACTTAAACATGCGTTTATCCAAGTACGCGTTAGAAATAGACTTGGATGATTGGTTGCAATTAAGTGTCTGAGATTTTAAGTAACCAGATAGAAACGTACAGTGGTATGTGAACAGGAGGGTTGGCCAAATAACACAGGCGCTTATAACAAGCTTGGCGGTATATCTTTGGATAATGTCTTTAGAGCTGTAGCGGCCGCCGCCTACATAAGCTCCCTCAAACTAAATCAACTGCAAAATGGAAGAGGCATGCCTTAGTTAGTTACAAATTAAACATGCACAGTGCATTACGTTTGCTTATTCTATCATGCGAGTATTTTACAGCGAACTGTCTTGTTTGTTCGTGCATGAAACGTGTAGTAGAAGACCATCTCCTACATGTATACTACCATGGATGTTACATTAGTAACACACAAGTATGTTGTCATGCAAGTTGTCTACAGTTCATTTCTTTATATCTTTATTAAGGTGAATATCCAAACCAAATAAAATGTATAGCTTTAAACACCTTTGACGAATATGGGTATCATTCTTATTTTTAGACTAGTGCCTAACATAAAGTGATTACTTTTTTTTGGCTTTTGGATGTTCATATTGTTGACGCATACCCACGATTATTTTTTTCATTGATATTCTTTTGATATCATGTTAAACGCGCTTTCTTATTTATTGATATAGAGTTTTCACTTAAAATCTAAAACATTGGAAACAGCAGACATTAAGCGAATACAATACTACACAAATAAAAATGTAAGGCTATATTTTATTAAACGAGCTGAATAAAAAGATTCAACAAAGAGTAAAAGAAAAGCAGCAGCCTTTGTTGAAATACGGAATAGTGAAACCAATTCAAAAGCTAAGTGTACTAAACACCCATCGCCTCAGTTTGAACTCAAAAACATTGTAATCAATTACAGAAGAGTTACAAATGCAAGATTTCGACACTTCTGAATACTGTCACAATGTCAGAGTTATGCAATATTAAAGTATAAAAATATAACGATCAAACTGAACTGGTTTTCTGATTTCATCAACATTTTTCAGTTTTGGGAGCCAAAAATAAAATCTGCAGGATCAGCATTTATGTCATACCATGAATGCTGAAATCCGTTTAAGAATTCCTCACCATCAATATGACCACTGCCATTCCGGTCAATATCGTCAAAGATGTCTTGGACTGGGGCTGTGTTGCGAAGGATGGTAAGAAATTTGGAATACTCATCTACATTCAGTTTGTCATCGCAGTCGAGGTCAAATGTGTGAAACCAATCTTGTGAGACTTGGGCAAGTGCCTTACTTGTATTACCGACTTCCTTCTCAAAGGCTGGGAGCAGTTCCTCAAATGTTATGGACGTTTTGTAGTTAGTGTTTTCGTTAGACCACCATGTCTGATATACATTGGATAAAATACCATATACCGCCTTGGCTCTCCAAGATACCAGAACCTGTTCGGCTCGCTTTGTTGTTAAATCAATAAACTCCTTTTTAGTGACCAAACCATCTTCGTCAACGTCGAAGATGTTAAATAATGCCCTTTCCTTAGAAATCCAGTGACCTGTAAAGTTTCCCTTGGAGTCCTACAAAAATTTTGAATGAAAGCCATTTGTAGTACAAAACAGGTTTACGAATTCATTTAACAATTTTGCTATTATATATGAATTCTATAATATAAAAATATGTCATATGTGAAACAGCCTATACATTTTGAGAAAGATATAAAAGCACTGCTTTCCATGGGGTCATAATGTGCTCTGCACTGAATATAAGCTGTTTCAGAATAATTAGATCGTATTTTCTTATTGAAGATCTCCCTAAATCCATAAGATCAGTCACTGTGGTCCATTTCTTACATCCCCTAAACCGCATAAATGCCTACCTTGAAAATATTGTAAAGATTTTCGAAAAAAATATTGCCTTCCTGTCATCTTATGGACGTTTGCTTGTAAGAGGGGTAGAAAAATAACATCAATTTATAGATGCTTTTTAAAATTATAGAGAATATGACGTCGTCCCAACCACCAGATAACTTAAAAACAGGGATCATGCTTAATTTTGTTATGTATAAAGATAAAACATATTACATCATTACTGTGAATTTCCTAGAAGATATTTTTAGGTTAAAATATTTATTCATTGGTTGCAACATGAGGGTTCTGATTTTACTCTTTGGGGTCATTTAGAATGAGAAGATCCGAGTGCCAACTGGTCCACGGCCTAAATATGGCGGACCTACATGAAATGAAGACCTCTTAATCCTGTAATGGTCCTCCGCCTCCTCCACGCGTCTGGTCGAATGGAGCCGAGATTTAATTACTGTTCCCCTGCAAGGACGATGCGTCGGGATGCCTATAAGAGGCGGACAGACTATTAAGCGGTCTTCTAGGTTAGCGCATTATGGTTCATATGGTTCTTTTGAGACTAAGCTAACATCTGGTAATAACTAGCAGGCATGGACAGATATTTGAACACATGTCTGGACCTACCTTCACATCATTTGAAGCAACAACCACCACTAGCATCAGAATTCCCAATTTGATGGCCATCATTTTTATATTTTTCCTTGTCAGGGCTTCTGAAATATATGTACATCATATTTTTGGAGAAAGGAAAATACTACGACAACAACGACATTTAGGAATCAATATGAATCGGGGATATCCAAAACAACATGATCCATGCCTCGGGCAGATATGCATTACGATTATTCCACTTTTACAAAGAACGTTCAAACCTGCAACCTAAGTACAAAATTGGGGGTACCGAAAGAAATATTACACATTTGAATCAAATATATTATTTGCTTGATTATTCAATCAGAAAGTAGTTGAACTTGTTGTAAATAGATTACCTTTACGCTAGACCAAATTTTGTGCATCAGTCACTCAAAATGTTTAACTAGAAATTATTTCACTTGCAGATTGAGCTAAAAAAAGGGGGTAAGCTTGACAGAATCATACGTCGGTTACAAACTGTGTCGTTGTCAATTTCACTTACCAGCTTGTTTAAATGGTGTTCCCTTGTCAGATCTGCTGTTTTGAAGGAGTGATGTATTTTTTTATTAACAGAAATGTTTTATTGCGCTCAGTGATGGTCCCATATCCAAATGTAAATCCTGTATCTCCGCCTGCATTACAGAATAAATTTACCCAATTCATCTTTCGATGTAACATGAAACTACATTTACATGTGGGTTGTCAAGTGAAAAAAAAAGAGACAGTTTTGAGTGCTTTCAACAAAATGTGACTTATGAGATTTTTCGTTCAACCACTATACATTAGCTCCACATCTAAATTCGTTACATCCACTACAAATTAGATCCACATGTAAACTAGAAGGGCTTATACATGTATATTTGAAAACACAATTGGAAGTGCTTAGTTGTAACAAGAACAAGTTTTTAATATAATTTTGTAAAAAGCACTCGTAAAATAGTAACTTCAATTTTTTTGTGTTTACCCTGTAATGATAAAATATTCCACATAGCTGAAGAATACAACTGTAAGGCAATTCCAATTTTTCGAAATGGACAACATATGGAAATCATTTGTTCCAGAGGTCTAACGTTTTGTTGTTTTTTTACATAGTTTGCGAAGCGAAGTAGGACACATAGATACACTAATTCTGATGAATAGCATTGTAAACATTCGTTGGTTAGAACCACACGTGAGAAACAATGTGGTAAGCAATGATTAAGTACCATGCTATGAAAAATAGGAAGACGTGTATTCTGTTATTTATTATTCATTTGTTTTATTATTATTTTATGTAATATTAAATTTAGGGAGAATATAAACACGTTATTTTGGGTGCGCAATTGTAATTGCTCGCGTTCGTCAATCCGACTGGAAAACATGCTTTACAAATAAATGAATTAGAGTTCTAAGAGAAGTGTGAAGACATATATGTGCTTCTTTATTTCTTTTAGCTGAATAGAGAACACCAGGACCAAACGTTTAAAATCTAAGGTACAGTACTGCTTTAATGCTTCAAAGTAAGAAAATTTGTATCAAGCAAAGTGAGTGTACACTTCTGTAACACAACAGCAGTATACGCAAATGTGAAAGAAATGAAGCAGTGAAATTTCTGAAAAAAATGAAGACGACGTTTGCAATCCAATAGGATAAAAGTCAAACGCAAACCCTTTTAACTCCGACTGAATATGTCAATTTTTGGATCCAATTATTAATTCACCAGGATTTGGTGCTTCGTCATACCAATTGTGATGGCTTCCGTTCAAGAATTCCTCACCGTCAATACTTCCGTTGCCGTCCTGGTCGATAGCATTAAATACGTCTTCAACGGGGGCTGTGTTGCGGAACATCGTAAGGAACTTGGAATACTCGTCTACTGTTAGTTTGTCATTGCAGTCGAGGTCAAATGTGTGAAACCAATTCCAAGAGCTTTGGTCGATTGCCTCACTCCAATCATCAATTTTCTTCTCAAAAGTCGGGAGCAACTCTTCAAAGGTAATGGATGTTGCATAGTTGGTGTTTTCGTTGGACCACCGGGTTCGATAAGAATGGGAAATGATTCCATATACCGCCTTAGCTCTCCAAGATTCCAAGATATTTTGAGCCCGCTGCGCTCTTAGGTCAATGAACTCCTCTTTAGTGACCACTCCGTCTCCATTCATGTCAACGATGTCAAAGAACGCCTTAATCTTAGAAACCCAGTGTTCAGTAAACTTTATATTGGAGTCCTATGGAATATGGAAAGAAATATGAAATGTACATTATTATGTAAGTGAAAGAACACATTCCAGGGCAAGGCATTGCTAATGATTAGTGAAAACATTCCAACGTTGAAAATAAAGTTGGGATACATGTTTGAAATGTATCAATAACAGTTCACAGACACACGCACGTGTATAGATATATCCTATTATGTCTGAACCTACCTTCACAGCATTTGAAGAAACAATACATCCACACTGAACTACTAGCAGCAGAACTCTTCGGGTTTCCATGATGGAGAAGTATACAGTGTACTTGTTTCTTTTTCTAAAAGTAAGCATTTGTCTGCTAATATTTGTGTGGGTTACTTGAACCAGGTCAATTGGAATTTATGCGAACATATCCTTAGGTTATTACCTCTGACTAAGGAGTAGGATTTGACTCAGCATATATATACCATCGTCCGAGCAAAAACACGGTGNTATATATATATATATATACCGTTATCTTTTCACTCTAATTATCACTAATAACCATCGTCCGAACAAAAACACGGTGCCCTAAATTTACAAGAAATCGGGTATAGGAAATTCATGTTTCTTTCTGAATAAAAATCGATTAAAACCATGACTAATTTTATTGGACACCCTGGCAGCATACAACCTCCTTGATTTTCAAAGTACTATATCGTCGACAGGAATATTGTCGCCCCAGTAGCTCCAAAGGACAGAGTTAAATTGTAAGTCTCAAAACAGTATTAGTGCGGCTTTGAAATATAGTATTCAGGCATATAGAACTGAAGTAGCCTCGATCTTTCCCGCACGCAAATGCAGCAGTATCGAAGTAGCAAAAAAGCATTAACGCAGTAGTGGTGTGGAGCATATTTGCAGTAGAAATGCAGCATAGCCTACTGCAATTCTACTCCAAAAAGTACACAGGTTTGTATAGAGAGGAGCATCAATGCAGTCTATTAGCAGCATTATAGAAGCATGTTTCAAATATGCTAATTAGCTCCCAAATCGAAGCAGATTTGAAGCATGTTTGCAGTATGATTGCAGTAGTCTACTGCGCTGGAGTATCTACTGCGTTTTCTTGCGGGTTGGTTAAAGATATTAACTGTTTAAATAGTTGTTGCTGGAAATAGATTAACATTTGTCCTAATTATCATACTCCAGCATGGCATTGTATTTTTCTTTTTACTGTTGGGTTTTAATGTGAAATAGAATTCAATGTCAAAATACAATTATTGAAAGTGATTTCAATTAATTTCCAATCTTTCTAACCACACATATTAACACACTTGCCAAGGTATGTTAAAAAAAAAAAAAAAAAAAAAAAAAAACTCGGGATATCCACTTAATGTGACTTACCAGATGGTCTTTCTACCCGTCTAACAGAATTGTGCCTGATCTGGTCTTTCAAGTCTTAAGGACTGCTGTCTGTTTGGATCCAAGAACGCAGTATTGCCTTCGGCGTGATACCAGTGATCCCGTTTTTTAGTACATCCCCTATCGTCGTCAACTTTACAAGTTGAACACAACTGTCTTTAAATGTAAACATAGTCATTTATTGTTGTGTGGGCTTCCAAGACAATGAAGACGCTACTTAGTTATGGTGGTTCTTTAGAATATATAATCGATGTACAAATATATCTGAAAATTAGATGTTTAGTGATTTTGAATTTTTTCAAAAGAGCATATACAGTTAATAACATATTTAAAAAATGTGTCCAACACCATACATCTTTAATATACCCTCGTGCAGACGAGACAAGAAGTAAAGTGACTGACACGAAGTTTGAAGGTTAAACTTAAATATCTTTCAGTTGAAGGTCAGTCCCACAACACAAACAACATTATGCTTTAAAAGTGATTTTGGTCTAGCGATTGCGCAGCCCTTGTAGTGGTATCGGGCATACAGTGTAGCTGTCAAAAGCACATGGCAAGCACGTGTATTGTGTTTATATATTCAGGAGCAAATGTTCTTTGATGAGCAAAAAATACAAAAACATTGGATATATATTTTTCTTTTAGAAACAAATTATTTATTTTTTCACTTTACATCTCAAATACAGTAAATAAAATAAAATAAAGCAGAATTAAATCTGTTTTACATTTCATTTTGGTCTGATGACATTCAACTGCAGATTCACTGCGGAGCAGTTCTTTTTTATTCACGGAAATCGCACACTGTCGCTGTTCCTCAAGGTCACTGTTGAAGCCCGATTCACAGTGACCCTGACACTCAGGGCAAATTTGACAGATATGAAGGTAATTGGAACACATTCTGATTGTAAGCCCCGCTACAAATAATTAAATGAATAAGTCACCGGATGCTATTTCTAGTCCTTCCATATATTTTTGTCTGGGCTAATGCCCCCAACTTTGAGCGAATGATGTGTGCTATATTCAGTAAAGTATGCTGTCCTTAATGTGAAATCAGTGATTGCGTATTCCAATGGCTATTTCCTAGGGCCCTTAATTTTACCAGATTAACATACTCGTGTTATTAATTTATCTATTTAACCCAGGGTGTAAACATGGAATATGCGTTAGTAAAAACTTTTATTGTATACAATAATGGATCATCGCTAGATAGTCCCGAGCACACCACTGTAAAACCTAAAACAACCTGTTATTATTTGTAATTGTTCATATAATTTACCTTCCAGGACCTGAAAGGTACTTGAAATTCACCTTAGCTGTAACTATGTTATAATAGGGCAGAACAGAAAAAAAGGAAGAAGCCATATACCAACGTGCGATCTCTCAGCACAAATACCACTTCAAGCGAATTGCTTTTGCACTTTACCTGACTTTGTCAATTTCGGGAACCGAATATCAATTTCATCAGTATCAGCTTATATACTGAAATCCGTATATGGATTTTGTATATTTTGTTATAGTGTGTATGGAGGCTATGCTGCGAAACCCCCATTTGAAGTTTGAACATCTACCGTCAGTTTGTCATCGAAATTGAGGGCAAAAGTGTGAAACTTTGATGAACGCACTAGGGTCCCACAATACCCTCACACCAGTCGTCTTCTAGTGTAAACGGGTCTTAGCGGATCCTTCGCTAAACCTCCATTTCCGCCAGTTTTACTAGTTGGACATTGTTGGCGTTTAATGTAAACATGAAAAACATGTCCTTAAGCGGGGTATCTGGATTTTTCTACATTAACCTAAATGCTATCGGCATATGCTCAATGAATAAGACACACCACCAGGTAATCGGACCATTATTGTGCCTACCAGCGCTAGCTTCGTTTCTCAGATACATGGTATTCTAAAAAACACACTTGTTTAATTTCATATATAAAGTACGTATTGATGGAATGCCCCATGAACCTGACGTATTTTTTTACGAATTAGTGGTTTTCCAAAAGAGTAAAACTACCGTACATTAAAAAATAATAATCCGGGTTTTTAGATTTTGTTACTGTCATCACTGAGAAAACAGAAATGCATAAATTTTAATGAACGTTTTCGATGGCATTTGTTTGCAAATTCGTTTGGAAAGCATGCTTTACAAATGTACCGATTACAGTTCGATGTGCAAAGACATCTTTTTATTTCATTAAGCTGAATTCACAACAATAGAACCAAACGTTAAAAATTTGAAGTGCACTGATTAAATGCTTTAAAGAACACAAAGTAATAAAAACGTAGCAAGCAAAGTATGTGTTCAATCCCATAACACAACAGTGGACTTAAATGTA